ACTACTTTCAGACCTTCTCCCCGACTCGAAAGATGACCACTCTTCGATTGCTGCTTCACGTCGCCACTCAGCGTGACTACGAGCTTCATGAGAAAACGAACGAGAAAGAATTGACTAAGGGAAAGTTGGGTACAAGTACAAACCCTAGAAAGTCGTACCCCATATGTGCTACCCCACTATAGCCTACAACAGCTATGTCATATGAATCTGACACACCCCCAAAGGCAAAGTGGGGGAGAACAAGGGGTCACAAGACCAGTCAAGCAAAGCAAAGCAAGCTCAGGGTGGATCACAAAGTCACCACACATTCCAAGCACAAGTTCAAGGCCACAAGGCCAGTTCACATGCAGGATTACACATATAGATATAAGGCTAGACAAGCAAGAGCAAGTGTGTATATATATGTAACAGTACAAACAAGGTCACGAGGTGAGCAAGTGAGGCAAGGCAGGCACAAGACCCAGCTGAGTACAGAAGCGTTGATGATCACAAGGCGCAAGCGCCTTGGTGAAGTTATCAGCAGTGTTGGCCTCAGAGGCCACGTACGCAAGGCGCAGCTGACCACGCTGCTGTAGCTCACGAGCAAGGAAGTAGCGAAGAGCAATGTGCTTCGTTCTGTGCTCCAGTCTCTGCTCCCGACACAAGGCCAGCATGGCCTTGTTGTCTACGTACAGCACTGGAGGAGAACGAGGCGGCTCTCCGAGGTCAGTCAGCAGGTAGGTGAGCCAGCAAAGCTCCTGTGCAGCCATGGCTCCCGCGTAGATCTCAACCTCACAACTGGAGCCGAGAACAGAAGACGAGCGAGTAGCCCGCCACGAAACAGAGCCGGAACCAAGGCTGAAGGTGTAACCCTGTGACGACCGCTGCGTAGCCTGGTCGTCAGCCCAAGAAGCGTCTGCGTGTCCAGTGAGGACCACTGGACTCTGCCTTCCAAGCACAAGCTCCATGCCCAACGTACTGCACAAGTAGCGCAACACCCTCTTCGCTGCAGCCATGTGCTCTGGTCTGTGTCTCCCAGGAGCAACATAGCGTGCCAAGATGCTAAGAGGGTATGCAAGGTCAGGTCGTGTGCAGGTCATCAGGTACATGAGGCAGCCAACAAGCTTTGGGTACGGGCCACTCGGCTCTACGGACTCATCCGAAGGCAGAGCTGAGAGTGAGTGGCGAGTAGGTAGAGGAGTGGCCTGAGGCGAGGAGTACGTGAAGCCGAAGCGCTGAAGGACCTGCTGCACCATGTGTGACTGAGTCAGGGTAATGGTGCGGCGTGCTCTGTCCCGGGTGATCTGCAGGCCAGGGTAGTTGCGCAGTTCACCCAGGTCTGTGCATGTGTGTCTCTTCTGCAGCTCGGACTTCACGTGGGCGAGTCCAGCAGTGTCAGCTGTGGCAAAGACCAAGTCGTCGACGTACACGAGGATGTAGACAACAAAGGAAGGGTCAGTGACAACAGTAGCAAGGAGACGCGTGACAGTAGGACTAGCAGCACGAAGAGAGTCCGACTCCGGGTCGGCAAGAGCAGGAAGAGAAGACTCAGGAGGAGAAGGCAAAGGGGCACGCAGAGGAGCAGTGGACGGACGCAGAGACATCCGGTGCGTGCCAGGGACAGGAGGAGGACGCTGACGCGAACCACGACCACTAGTGCGAGCAGGACGGACAGGCGACGCAGGGCGAGACGCAGGCTCACGACGCTCAGCAAGACCTCCAGTAGGACCAGGGTAAGGAGAAGGAGCAGGCAGTGAGGAGGCCGGCTGTAACTGTAACTGTGACGGGACAGGCTGTGGACACTCTAAGGGAGGAGAAGGACTAGTAGAAGGCGGAAGACCAAGAACCTGCTGAAGGAGCAGAACGAAGTACGGCCGAGGCCGCGCGGCGACTCCAGACACAGCAAGGACAGCACCAGTACCCCTAGTGGTAGCACCACTGCCAGCAGCACCTCCAGCTCCAGCACCCCAAGCAGCTCGAGAAGCTCCAGGACCTCCAGCAGCACCAGTAGCACCCCCAGCAGGACCCCCTCCAGGACCGACAGCAGTAGCCTCAGCGCCAACACCCACAGCAGCTCCAGCTCCAGTCGTACCCGCAGGCCCAGTAGCTCCAGTACTCCCAGTACGAGCACCTCCGGGACCCGCGACACCAGCACCCTCAGTAGCCGAAGAACCTCCAGCTCTAGCAGCACGGCTCCAGCGCCGGGCAAACCACTCGCGCAGCTCTTGTGGAGAGAGTGGCTCCCGCTGAGACGAAGAACCCGGAGAACCTCCAGGCACAGTACCGCCAGACGCGACACGAGCAGGCCCAGCTCCCTCAGGCTCCGCACCCCCAGGCTCAGCACCTCCAGGCGTAGCACCCCCAGGCTCAACACCCCCAGTCGTAGCACCCCTAGGCTCAGCACCTCCAGGCGTAGCACCCCCAGGCTCAGCACCCCTAGTCGTAGCACCCCCAGGCTCAGCACCCCCAGGCGTAGCACCCCCAGGCTCAGCACCCCCAGGCTCAGCACCCCCAGTAGTAGCACCCTCAGGCTCAGCACCCCCAGGCGCAGCACCCACACGCTCAGCACCCCCAGAGTCAGCACCCCCAGGCTCAGCACCCTTAGCAGCACCAGAGTCACCAGCAACCTCGACAGGCTCGACTGCGTCTACCTGGGACACACCCGAAGGGACAGGACCCTGAGGGGGGAGGGGGTCTACCGGGGGGGGACCTGGCACAAGGAAGAGCGGTGGCGGGGGGAGGGACTGAGTGCGGTAGGGGAAGAGGCGGTAGTAGGGGACCGACTCGTCAAACGTGAAGTCCTGGGAGGACAGAACATGGCGAGAGGTGGGGTGGTAGAACTGCCACCCAGGCGCGTCAGGGGGGAAGCCAAGGAAGATGCAAGGAGTGGCACAAGGGGACAGCTTGTCCGCAGACAAGTCGCGGATAAACGCCCGAGATCCCCAGACACGGAACGCAGACGCATCGCCAACCTTCCCGGTCCACAGCAAAGCTGGGGAGGTCTCCGGCATGGAGACCCTAGGCTGAAGGTTGATCTGATGCGCCGCGTACCGAACCGCAAACGGCCACAGAAAATGGGGGGCAGCCGCATGCATCATGGACGTACGGGCGACGTCCATGACCATGCCAATGCGGCGCTCAGCAATCCCATTTTGCTGCGGAGATTCTGGAAGCGTGAAGGTCTGGCGGATGCCTCGTGCACGACAGTAGGCTCGCAGAAGGCCAGAGGAGAACTCTCCGCCTCTGTCAGAGTGCAGACGCAGAACTGGAAAGTCCGAGCCGAAGCTCTGCCTGAGCTGGAGACGAGCTGCGCGGATCCAGTCGATCAACACCTCAGTGACATCACCCTTGCTACGCAAGGGGAAGACTGTGGTGTAACGCGAGTAGTCGTCAACCACCAGCAGAAAGTAGCGCTCGTGACCCTGTCCACGGACGCGGGCTGGGCCCCACACGTCCATGTGAAGCGTCTGCAACGGGGCCTCTGTCGGAGGAAATTCGGAGGAGTGAGGGGCAGCAGGCTGCCGCCCCTCGACGCAGGGGACGCAGGCAGGGGCAGGCCCCGGGGGAAGGGGAGGGAGGGACCGGGGAAGACAAGAGACAAGGACACGGGAGGCCATGCCTCGGAGACGAAGCAGGGAGGGGTGACCAAGGCGGTGGTGCCAGAGGAGAGTCTCGTGAGACAGGAGGCGACACGAGCAGGGGGCAGACTCAGGACCAGACCTGGACGCTGCAGCAAACACCTGACTCGACGCAGCTACCTGACCAGACGCAGGGACAGGAGGAGACTCAGTGGTCAGTGTGTACAGGCTCAACTCTGGCCGACGTGTAAACGTGGCCAGGTGTCGGCCTGTCCAAGCGTCCGTGCAGTGGGTCACCCGCTGACTCGCAGGAGTGAACTGGTGAACCCCTGCATCCTGTAGGTCAGCACCACTCACCAAGTTCGTAGAGAACGAGGGGAGGTAAAGACCAGACAGGGTGCCAGAGGGGGCCACCGGACACGGGAGGACAGTGGAGAAGTGAGCAAGGACAGGACCCCCAGAGGGGTCTGCCAGAGAGACTGCTACTGGCCGACCAAGCGGCGTGAGTGTGGTGCGGTCTCGAAAGAAGGAGCGAGAAGCCCCCGAGTCAAGGGTGAAGGTGTGGGAGGCCGAAGCCGACGCGGTACCTGAGAGAGCAGACTCACCAGCACCTGAGGAAGCAGACGCACTGGCACCTAGAGCAACAGCCTCGCTACCACCTAGAGCAGCAGCCTCACCAGTACCTAGAGCAGCAGTCTCAATACCCGGATCAGGCGGGAAACACCGGTAACAATCACCATTATCACTAATAGTCACAGCATACATTAGAATAGCATCAAAGTCAAGGTCAAAGATAGCTACTCCCGCCCTAGACAGCTCGCCCCAGCGAGGGATCTCAGTGGCCTCAGGGAACTGGTGACGCCAAGCGTCCGTGAGGCGGCCAAAGCAGCGCTGGGTGGAGTGCGCACCCCCGCACTGCTCACCCGCGCGGTCGTCGGTGCGTAGGACGTAGGTGCACGGACCAGTACCCCCACCCCGTTGGCGTGCAGCGTACCACTCACGGAGCTGCTGAGGGGGGGGGATGTCACGAGTGCGCTGCTGCTGCTGGCTCTGACCACCACCGTAGCTGACCCTCTGCGCAGCGCCACCTCGACCAGCTCCGCCTCCTCCGCCGCCGCCTCCTCCTCCGCCGCCACCCCCGCTACCTCCGCCCCCACCGCCACCGCCGCCTCCACCTCCGCCTCCACTGCCGCCACCGACACCTCCACCCCCGCCACCACTCCCACCACCACCCCCACCCCCTCCACTGCCGCCACCGCCACCTCCGCCACCCCCGCCACCCCGTCCAGCGCCCTTGCCCCCCTTGCCCTTGCCGGTGCAGCGTCTCCCGCTCGGGGTAGACGCCAACGCCCATCCGGGTACAGCTGTCCCCGAAACGGGGCACGCGCTTATGGTGATCGATGTCGGTTTTAGCAACTAGATGCACAGCCGGTATAATGCTACTCACCGAAGCGCCTTCTCCCTACGGAGGGTTGGTTTCCTCCGGGGATCTCCTAAAAGCCCAAAAAAAAAGGGGCCAACCGACTCGAGACCAATGAGGTCGGCCGCAGCTGCAGAGGCAACAGAGGGCAAAAGGGGGGGGGGGGAACACCCCTCAAAGACGGAGGTGCAAGGGTCACCACGAGAGGCTCCTACAGCGACTATGCTCTTCTCTGCCGCTAGGAGGGCCTTCTCGAGGAGGTCAACGGTGAGAGTGGTGGGGCAAACTGAGAGGAAGTGGTCTCTTACTACGCGGAGAGAGTCAGGGAGCCGGGTGACTATGTAGTAGAGGGTGATGTACATGGGGGGAGGGGGGTTCTTGGCGCAGAACTCAGCAGGAAGTGCAGCGCGGTAGCGAGTGTCACTAGTGCGGAGGTGCGTAATGAGGTCAATGAGAGTGGGAAAGGAAGCAAGGTCAGGGAAGAGGTACGGTAGCATGAGGCGGCTCAGTGCAGCAGTGGCAGGGGAGGAGTAGCGTGCAACTACAGCGTTGTACAAGGTCTGCGCACTCTTGTACTGACTAAAGTGCGCACGCTCAGAGGTAGGCAGGTGGCGACGCACAGCAAGACGTGCAGCAGCATCGCGTGTGGCCCACTGTTAGCGAACAGTGGCGTCAGCATCAGCAGCACGGGTAGGAGAGGCACCAGAAGTGAGGTCAAAGAGGGAGAGACCGTCTGCCCTATCGCACTGTAGGAAAAGCTGCATGTCATCTACCCAGACGTCAAAGTCAATGGCCCGACCCTCAGCGTCAAAAGCGAGGACACTAGGGGTAGCCATGACAGCAGTAGACTATGAGCGCAAACAGTAGGGTAAGGGCAGTGCAGTGACTGAGGCGCTGCTCTTACCGGACAGGGCGGCTCGGGCGGCTCGGCGGTTCGGCGGCTCGGCGGCTCGGGCGGCTCGGCAGCAACTCCGGCTCGGGGACTCGGCGGCTCTGGCGGCTCGGTGGCTCGGCGGTACGGCGGCTCGGCAGCTCGGCGACCCGGCGGCTCGGGCGGCTCAGGTGGCGCGGCGGCTCTGGCGGCTCAGGTGGCGCGGCGGCTCTGGCGGCTGAGGTGGCTCGGATGGCTCGGCAGTAGGTCGGCGGCGCCGGCGGCTCGGTGGTGACGGCGGGGCCGCGTGGGGACGGCGGCGGGGCTGGTAGAGGCAGCGCCGGGGCCGGGAAGGGTAGCGCCGGGGCCGCAGGGTAGGCGACGGGGCCAGCAAAGGCGGCGCCAGGGCCGGGACAGGCGGCGCCGGGGCCGGGAAGGGCGGCGCCGGGGGCCGCAAGGGTAGGCGAAGGGGCCGGAGGGTAGGCGCCGGGGCTGCAGGGTAGGCGACGGGGCCAGCAGGGTCGGCGACGGGGCTGCAGGGTAGGCGCCGGGGCCAGCAGGGTAGGCGACGGGGCCGCAGAGTAGGCGACGGGGCCAGCAGAGGCGGCGCCGGGGCCGGGAAGAGCAGCGCCGGGGCCGCAGGGGTAGGCGACGGGGCCGCTAGGACGGCTAGGAGGGGGGTCGCGAGGGCGGCTTGAAGAGGCCGCGAGGGCGGCACGAAAGGGCTGCGAGGGCGGCGCGAACAGGCCGCGAGGGCGGCGCGATCTGACCGAGCCGCGAGGGCGGCGCGATACGACGGAGCTGCGAGGGCGGCGCGACGAGGCCGCTAGGGTGGCGCGACGTGACGCGGCCGCGAGGGCGACGCGACGAGACCGCAAGCTCGACGCGACGGGGCCGCTAAGGCGGCGCGACAGGGTCGAAAGAAGGGAGCGCGACTCGGGCAGAGTAGAGCGCCCTCCGTGCAGGAAAAAAGGTGGTGGGCCCTATAAACAGTTCCCACAGGGGAACCTGCTCGATACCATGAGAAAACGAACGAGAATGAATTGACAGAGGGAAATTTGGGTACAAGTACAAACCCTAGAAAGTCGTACCCCATATGTGCTACCCCACTATAGCCTACAACAGCTATGTCATATGAATCTGACACTTCACTCTCTGGACTTCAGCACAACCTTCCTACAGGGCAGCCTGCACGAGGAGATCTGGCTGCACCTGGCTTCATTGGGTCGTTTCCTCCTGGTACCCAGTGGAGCCTTCGGCGGCCAGTCTACGGTCTCCGCCAGGCGCCTCATGAGTGGCACGACACACTGAGGACTACGCTTGTAGATCTTGGTCTTGATCCTTCCACAGCTGACCCCTCGCTGTTTCTCCGCACCGACACTACTCTGCCGCCGTTCTACATCCTCGTGTACGTCGACAACTTGGTCTTTGCCACAGCTGACATTGCTGGACTCGCCCACGTGAAGTCGGAGCTGCAAAAGAGACACACGTGTACGGACCTGGGTGAGCTGCGCAGCTATCTTGGCTTGCAGATCACCCGGGACAGAGCACAGCGCACCATTACTCCGCCTTAGTCACAGATGGTGCAGCAAGTCCTTCAGCGCTTCGGCTTCACGTACTCCTCGCCACAGCCCACTCCTCTGTCTACTCGCCACTCGCTCTCAGCTCTGCCTTTCGATGAGTCCATAGAGCCGAGTGGCCCGTATCCAGAGCTTGTTGGCTGCGTCATGTACCTGATGACCTGCACTCGACTTGACCTGGCATACCCTCTTAGAATCCTGGCACGCTGTGTTGCTCCTGGGAGACGAAGCAAGACGAAGCTGCGTAGCGTGCCAGAATGCTAAGAGGGTAAGCAAGGTCAGGTCGAGTGCAGATCATCAGGTACATGAGGCAGCCAATAAGCTCTGGATACAAGCCACTTGGCTCTACAAACTCATCCGAAGGCAGAGCTCAGAGCGAGTGATCGAAAGGCAGAGGAGTACTGGAAGTCGAAGCGCTGAAGGACGTGCTGCACCATGTGAGACTTAGTCATGGTAATGGTGCGCTGTGCTCTGTCCCGGGTGATCTGCAAGCCAAGATAGCTACGCAGCTCACCAAGGTCTGTGTAGGTGTGCCTCTTCTGCAGCTCCGACATCACGTGGGCCAGTCCACCAATGTCAGCAGTGGCAAAGACCAAGTCCTCGACGTACACTAGGATGTGGAGCGGCAGCAGCGAAGTGTCGGTGCGTAGAAACAGTGATGGGTCAGCATTCGAACGAGCAAACCAAAGAGCCGCAAGTGTAGTCCTCAGTGTGTCGTGCTACTCTCAAGGCGCCTGGTGGAGACCGTAGACCGGCCGCCAAAGGCTCTACTAGGTACCTGCAAAAAACGACCCAGTGAAACCAGGTGGGCGGCGCAGCCAGATCTCCTCGTGCAGGCTGCCTTGTAGGAAAGCAGTGCTGAAGTCAAGAGAGTGAAGCTCGTAGTCACGCTGAACGGCGACGTGCAGCAGCTCCCAAAGAGTGGTCATCTTCGGGGTAGGGGAGAAGACCTGGAAGAAGTCAACTCTCTGTGGCTGACTGAAGCCTCGTGCAACGTAACGCGTCTTGCAGACAGGCGGAGAACCCGGCGGCCGCTTCACCCTGAAAATCCACATGCCACTGACGATGTTCGCCCTAGGTGTGGGAACCTCGTCGACGTAAGTGCCTGTGGACTTCCGAGAAGCCATCTCTGCATCCATGGCTGACTGCCACTAAGAGGAGTAGGGACTCTCTATCGCCTCTGCGTAAGAGCGCGGGGTCGGGATGTCTGGTGCATCCGGGTCTCCCTCAGGTGCAATCAGCATGGACACGAGATGAGGTACAGCAACTGCAAAACACTCAAAGTCCTCCTGCCTGTCCTCAAGGACGTCCGTGCCAAGAGCACACTCACCCCCGACAGACGGAGGACAGACAGACTCAGACTCGGCAACAAGACTAGCGGTGTAGTCAAGACGACAGCGAGCAGCAAAGTCAACCAGCTCAGCAACAAGAACAGACACAGCTGTAGACTCAAACGAAGGGTCAGTCACCACAGTGGCTAGTAGACGCGTGACAGTAGGACTAGCAGCACGAAGGGAGTCAGAATCCGGATCTGGACCGTTAGCAAGGGAGGACGCAGGATGAGACGGCAGAGGGACACGCAGTGGAACAGAGGAAGGACGAAGAGCCATCTAGTGTGTGTGCTGGGAACAGGAGGAGGAAGCTGGCCCGGAACACGACGACCAATGCAAACAGCGCGAACAAGCGACGCAGGACGAGATGCAGGCTCACGACGCTCTGTAAGACCTCTAGGCTGCTCTGTGTAAGGAGACGGAGCATGCAATGGGGAGGCTGGCTGTAACTGCGGCTGAGACTAGTCAGGCGGTGGACACAGTAAGGGAGGAGTATAGACTCGACCCAGGCCGACGGGTGAACCTGGCCAGGTGCCTGCCAGACCGGGAGCACGTAGAGATTGCCACACGCTGTCCTCCAGGGGTGAAGGTGTCAACCCACTGATCCTGAAGTACAGCGGTGCTCACCAAGTTCGTAGAGAACGAGGGGAGGTGGAGACCTGACAATGAGCCAGATGGACCCGCCGGACAAGGCAGAACAGTGCAGGAACGTGCAAGGACTGGGCCCCCGGAGGGGTGAGCCAGAGAGACAGCAACAGGTGCAGAGAGCAGTGTGACTGTGGTACTGTCGAGAATGAATCAGCGGGAAGCACCTCAGTCAAGCGTGAAGGTGTGCAGGGCCACAGCAAATGTAGAACTAGAGAGAGCATACTCACCAGTACCTGAGAGAGCAGATTCACTAGCACCTAGAGCAGCAGCCTCTATACCTGGGTCGGGCGGCACACACAGGTAGCAGTCACCCTCAGCACGTCTCTGAGACGCCCAATGCTGAGCAAACCACTCACGAAGCTGCTGGGGCATAAGGGTCTCATGTGGACGCCGCTGCAGCAGCATCGGGCCACCTCCAGAAACTCCCAACTGAGTAGCTGCACGGCGACTGCCACTACGGCCACTACGCTGAGACGCCCAACGCTGAGCAAACCACTCACAAAGCTGGTGGGGTGTAAGGGTCTCACGCGGACGCCGCTGCAGCTGCATCTGGCCAACGCCAGAAACTCCCCACCGAACAGTTCCATAGCGACTGCTGCGACGGCCGCCACCACTCCCATTGCTGCCACCACCGTCCCCACCACTCCCACCGCTGCCGTGAAGAGAACTCATGCGACCAGCAGGGCAGCACATAGGGAAGGAAGGGCAGCAAGGAGGCACTAGGGTAGGTAGGGGCGGTGCACGATCAGGGAAGGGCGGGGCGCGGCCAGAGCAAGGCTGCGCGCTGCTAGAGCAGGGTGGCGCGCGGCTAGAGGAGGGTGGCGTGCGGCCAGAGCAGGGCGGCGTGCGGCCAGAGCGGGGCTGAGCGCGGCCAGAGCAGGGCGGCGCGCGGCCAGAGTAGGGCGGCGCGCGGCTAGAGCAGGGCGGCGTGCGGCCAGAGCAGGGCGGCGTGCGGCCAGAGTAGAGCGGCGCACGGCCAGTAGCAGGCAGTAGCTCCTAGAGCAGAAGCACCAAGGGCTTTTTTTTATTTAATTTATTTATTTTAGGGTTTAGCAGGGCGCACAGGGTGCTGCAGAGGCGGCTCGGGCAGGGCAGAGCAGGGCGCCAGCGCGCGCAGGGCAGGGCACTGGTGCGTTGGCAGGGCAGGGGGCTGGCGCGGGCAGCAGCGCGCACGGGCAGGGCGGCGCTAGGCAGCGAGTGCAGGCCCGCGGCGGGCGCAAAACGCAGGCACGGCGGGCGCAAGAGGCGGGCGTAGCGGATAGGTGCGGGAGGGGCGAACGGGCGGGCCCGTGACGGGCCTAACGGGTAGGCGCGGTGGCGCAGAGGGAGGGCCCGCGGCGGGCCTAACGGGCGGGCGCGGGAGCGAGTGTAACGGGCAGGAATGGCGGCGCGAAGGGAGGACCCGC